AGAGAGAGAGAGAGAGAGAAGTAACTGACATGCTTGCTGTGTGGCTAGCGTCATGGAGCCCTGATGGGAAGAGCATTTGCAGATCATCGCCGGATGGTATTATGTCAATCTCCTCATTGGACCTTTCAAAGGGGCATTCAATCAAGCTTCCAATGACGTTGCCCGAGGACGTGGAGGACTGCAAAAGGAGTGGTGAGTATCTGTGATGTGTATGTGCAAATCCCTGCAGTCTCACCTACGTTTTGACTTCTTGAGTCAAAAGCCCATGAGTCGGCAGAAACATGTAGGAGATCCTGTGTGGATAGACCTGTTGTTGATGTTGTGCTGTTCTGCCATTCTGACTCAAAAAAAGTGTCCAACAAACTCAGTTCAGGGAATGAGCTGAATGAATCTTCTCTAAGCGGGGTGTTGGTTAGGGAGATATCAATGTGGGGCTCTCCAATCGCTTACTTCCGTCCTCTGTCCTCTTTGTCTCTTGGCTTCGACTCTCCCGAGTACTCTTCTATGTCTCTGCTTCCTCACTCTCTATTTTGCACATCAGTGTGCCATGCTCTACTGCTGCTTGGTGTTGGATTTAAGTATCATGCCTCCTGCTTCAATTCATGTCTATGTTTTAACCCTTGACGTTGAACTTCCATATCCAGATCTTCTTTCCGTTTCGACTTTCTGAGTCATGGACCGTCTTCTTTTCTCTTCTGCGTTCTATGTCCTAGACTATTAAGCAAGGAATTATACCTGTGATTATCATTGTCTTCTTCTTCTCTTTTGAATCTTCTTAGTCAGAGAGTGTGTTGTGAGGGAATGGTATCCGTGTTGCCGTGGCGACTTGTTACCTTGGATGTTCTTTTGCAGATGAGTAATCTTTGGGAGGAACATTCTCTCTCTCTTTTTTTCCTGTATATTCTAAGTTCTTGGACTGCTATGTTATGTGGAGGGATGACCTATAGGCTGTTGCCTCTGGTGCTTGTCTGGCTCAGGTGTTTTCTAGAAAGACAACAATGTCATCCGCCGTCTTGAGATGAGTCGAGATGGTTTTGCACCTGATTGACTGTTGCCAATGCGTGTACTGCGGTCTTCCCTCGAGCACAACACACCCTATCATGACTGAAGCAGACTGGAACAGTAGCTTGTATAGATTCATGATGAGGGTGCATTGTATTCGGGAGAAGAAGCTAGACTGCGGTGTGCGTGGAAGAACGGACTGTTTCCCATACCGACAACAAATGACTTTGAATTAAAAGCGGTTTTCAACGCAGGAATCAGAATTTGATTGTAAAGAGATTACTGTTTGGTGAAACATGACATTGCTTCATCTTTTTTTGACGCAATGACTGCAGTCGACTCTTTGAGGTGGGTGCGAGACGACAGTATCCTAGTTGGATATGTGGAAGATCGCGAGGATGAGGGGGAAGTCGATTATCCGCTTTTGCTGCTTCATTCTCCTTCTGGTCTAGCAAAGGTATAGTGATTTCACACATGCTTCTGATATCTTTGTTGTCATGAGAAGTTGATTTTGATGGTATCGGGTTTTGCATGGTTGTGTATGCTGTAACTGGGGTGCCTTTGTGTGGCAGTACATGTTTTCTTCTGGCGATTAGCGATTCGAGTGGATTCCATTCCATCTGTTCCATGCATTCAAACCCATGTAAATCTGGATGATCACATGAAGAATTGTCTCTGAAGTTCTGAACCGATCCCATTGTGATCAATATCTCGTCCGGTCGCTTCCATCCAATCCTGTCCAATCAGTCCCAGTCAACCAGGTCCATCCAAACTTGTTTGGTTTTACTTGACGAATTATTTTTATTTATAATAATAATAATAATATATTATTATATTATTATTATTATTATTTTTATTATTTTTTTAAGCCCAGGGCGTTGTAGAGGCCAAGGACCAGACCCATGGTGATCACTGGCAGCGGCAGCCGATGGTTGTCCTGACAAGATAGGCCACCTTCCCTACCCTTCCCCACGTTAATTCTCCCAGCGCACCCCCTATCCCTACTATCTTACCTCAGTGTGACCAGCACTCAAGACCATAACCCTACCAATATTGAGGGCAACTTGGACCAGACAGCAGTGACAAGCACCAAGGCTACCGTCTTTTTTGTGGTGAGACACATAGTACCTGTGATTTTGGCGGGGTATTCTCAGAACCTGAGGTTTCCTGGATGGGGTAGCCTGAAACATTCTTGTATCAGGTCGGGTAGTAGTGATGGCGATATTTTCGGAGAAGAGAAAGGAAAATTAGCTCATCTTCATCTATCTTAGTGCATCCGTTGGACTGTTTGTCATTTTTGCGAACAGCAAGATGAAAATGAGTTCTTTTCTTTTTAACATTATTGTATGCACGTATGCATTCGAGTCCAGCAGGATTCAAACTCATGATCTGTTTACTAATAGTTATATGTGTACCACTCAGGCACGTGGACTGGGTACGAAGATGGGCTTGCATTATCAGTAGTTCGTAGTGTGCACGGCAGCTGTTATGGGTTAGTTGACTACTCATTGGGCTTTCGTCGACATGTTTACTTTTGGGCATTTCAGTGGTTTCTTGCATGAAGAGTCGGACCAAAAGGAAATTCAGAGGCTTTTCAGGAAAAGCTTCTGGACCTGTTACAGTGATGTGATGTATAAGCTCCCGCCTGTGGAAAGTGAACCATGTTCTCAGTTCCCCACAAGAGAATGGTTTGTACCTCGAAGGCTATGCTATCTAGAAAAAGACTGGGAGAAGGGGGGGGGGGGGGGGGGAAACTAAGCTTCAATTTTACTGTTATGTAGGCAGCAACTCCAAAGAAGACGATCGTCAGAAAGAGGCACAAGGCTTTTCTCCTTTTTTTTTTTTTTTTTTTTTTTTCCCCTTCTTGTAAAGCCCAGGTTGTTGTAGAGGTGGGATACTAGATCGATGGCAGTCACCCACAGTACTTGGCCACTCGGTTGTCCAGATGAACCCCTCCGAAGACCCTACCCACCCTTCCTCTCATCTTTTTTGCCCTGGTGCACCCCCACCCCCCCTGTCCTACTCTAGTGTTAATTGATGGACATTGGACACATAGGAGCTTGTGCTGCTGCTGGCACTTCTGGTGCATTGAGTGGAAGGAAACTACAGCGGCAGATGGCTCCTGTACCTTCTTATTCTGCAGCTATGCATCCACTCTGATGGCTCGCTTTGCACGAAATGTCTTCGATAAAGTGACTGTCTGGAACTTCCCTATCATTCGTTATCCAAGTGTGACCTCCAACATGCGTTTCCGTTAATCGCCTGGTTTGTTCACTAGGCAATTGACCGGGTCTGAAACAAATCTGTAACAATTGGCGGGGTTTCCAAACTGCAGCAATAGCACTTATTTGCCGCATGCCTTCTCATGGACATCCCCCCATAGACCCCTTGCTAAGGGCTGGACCTGCCACATGTGCTCCCTCGGGCGTGGTTATTCTATGCATGTGACCGGTCTCTCTGTGGTTCTGATGTATGCAGCAATTGTCCCTGCGTCATCCACATTCCTCCTTGCCTTCACGAGCCTCTCGTCCTGGCCCTGCACCTGTGGCTTCAACTGCTGCCGTTCTTCTGCTGCAGTTTTCACTGCCACAGCTTCCACTACAAACAGTCTCTTCTGTTGCAGTTTCCACTGCTACAGCTTCCTCTGCTACAGTTGCGGTTGCAGTGTAGAGAACACTACAGCCTCCCCAACACACACATCGTTCATATCAAACCCTTTTCCAATCTTCTGTGCTGGCCTGCAGATGGCCATGCTCCTTCTCACTACCTGTGTCTCGTCCACGGTCTCCCTTGCCAACAGACTCTCAATTTCCCGCTGTTCCACCTTCATTGCTGGAGACATGCTGATCTCCAGTTTGCGTCACCACGACTCTTGTTGTGTAACGTCGACGGCACACAGTGTCGTTGCTCATCTGGGGATCAACAACCTGTGTCTTCCTCTGCCCTGACTCTTTCTGTGCCTGCTCCACAGGTTGTTGCTGTTCCCTTGTTCCAGACAGCAACATCCCCTCCTATGTCCCCTGCAGATCGTCGAACTTCTGGAGGGCAGTCACGTGACCGTTTTTCATCCCTCTACAGGGTTGGAGACTCATGAGTCACCGGCCTTGAGTCACCTACAGGATACGGTCCCCACTCAGGCTGCACTCACACTCAAGGGGCAATCGCCGTTGGGGATGCAGCCCCGAACGTCTTGGGGTCAGAAGATCATTCGGCTGAATTGCAAATTGCCCCGCAAGGCGTAGGCCACTTGGGTGATCTGCAAATGAACTGACCAGGATACAGCTCAAGAGATTCCTGGCTTGGAAGATCAATTTGGGTAACCTGCAAATTGTTGGCCAGTGTGTAGCACTCCAGCCTGCTCACGACAATGAGGAACGTCTCCACAGATTTCATTGAGAACCTCCACAATCTCTGCGGTCTGGCTGCTACCGATTCTTGTCTGCACAGTTTCCGGCACCTGCCTTCTGCGGAGTCGGACTTTCTTGCAATCGACATTCAACTTGATGTGGATATTCCCTGCCTAGAGGCAGAGGGTAGTATCTATACCAGGGAAGGAGGCTGCATGATGGAGGCCCTAGGAAGTAGCAATGACTGACTGCCAACTTGGACTGCACTATGCTCGACCCGGTGGGTGATTTCAATCCTTCATCAGACATCTCTGCCTGCATTGTACGCTGATCTGGTCATTACATTGTGATTGGCCATGCGTCTGACCACTAGGAGCTGTGGGACAATGGCACCATGGTCGATGCCATGATTGATGTTGGTGATTTCCGTGAAAATGATGATGTTTTCTTGCCATGCCAAACCCTTTGCACACTCTTTTCATGTTGAGTTGCCCCTGTGCCGCAGCAGGACAACGAGTCAATGGTCTGCGACCGTCTTGTCTGGACGGCCACAGACACCGTTACACTTATCTGCAGGGGTCATTTTCTCTGCCAGAGTCTCTACAATGCCAGTGTTTCTGCATCCATGTGTGCAGAGGGCTCACTCTCCTTTCCTGACTGCGCGCGCTCTGCACATTGGGACATAACATTCCAGCCAGGGACGTTATGATGAATGCATGGTCTTCTGTGATGCCCATTCGTCCTTCACGCTGGCTTGGGAATAACATGCCATCTGTCGGGAGTGTTTGGTGGGCATGCTTGATTCCAGCTGTTGTGGTTGTCCTGAAAATGCAGAGCTAGGTCTTCCGTGCCATCATCCACCTCGTCCCTACAATGCTTGTCCTCTGTCTTCAAGGGCAGACATGAAAATGCTCAGCTAGGTCTTCCGTGCCATCACCCACCTCATCCCTACAGTGCATGTCGTCTCTGTCGTGAAGGGCAGAAAGACTCCTGAGTCTTCTCTTCTCCTTCCCTGTTCCCCCATCTTCATTCTGCACTCGTTACTTTCCCCTTGTCTTTCTTCCAACTTCTTCTCTCTTCATCCCCTCTCCCCTCCCCCTTTACTCTGCCTCTTTTTCACAGCACACAAGTGGGCTGTTATGGGACCTGGGAATGTGCGCAGCTCGAGCTCAACTACATCAACGTTGTGAGCCATGTAAGTGAGAGGCACAGTAAAGGGGGAACTAAAAGAAAAAGAAGAAATACAAGGAAAGCCATGAAAAAGCTAAAGTAGGGAAAGAAAAGGAGGAGCTACACAGGAAAATGCCAAGGAGTTAACCTCCATCTGACCTCTGAGCTTTGGTGTACCTGTACTGGACTTCGTGTTATCAGGGTGTAAATGATATCAAGTATTATCAGATGTATGGTCTGTGCCCGACAATTGAGCCAAATGCAACTGAGCCGGAAACTGGTCCATACCTCCTTGCAGAATATTTGGATGCTTGGTGAGTCCTCTACGATGTGACTTTTGCCCTCTTCTTTGTACCTCTACGATGAACTTACATCCTTGCTTTCCATCTGTTCATAGCTTTCCATGTATTTCTTGATGTTCGGTCTTTTTATTGGTCGTGAATGAAGCACTCCTTGAAGCTGATCCCTTTTTCTTCTTTCTTCACTCCGTTCCCCCACCCCAAAATCCGTTTCTGCTAAGCAGCACAGCTGGATATCCGCCATTTTTGTCTGAATGCATCCGTTCGGAGGAATTATTCTGGGTGAATGCGGATAAAGATGGTCCAGCACAAAAGAGTATATATTTCCTAGAACAACAGAACAATGTGAGAAAGAAGTATGTTGTAGAGGGTGACAAGACAAACACTGTTTGGCTGAATGTCACCTTGTGATCCCTAACAGAAATTGCCGTGGGTTCCATTCATCACGCCTTCCATTTCAGACCGGGAAATCCCACAGCCCCCTGAGGCGCGCTGTGCGTTTGCCAGCTGAGATAGTCAGCTTGCCCCTCCTAGTTGGTTGGCGGGGAATGGCATTGTCCCTTCCACCCGACCCTGAGGGGATATGTTCAGCCCATAACCCTTAACATAGCTGGCTTGTAGTCTATAGATGAAGAGTGTATCATGTTGAGAAAAGAATATAGGATAGTATGATCTTTATAAAAAAAAAAATAAAAAAAAATCAACTGGAGTCCCCTCTCCAAACCTCTCTAAACCCTGTCTATAGCCCCCTTTGAATTCTGTGAACCCCCTACATGCTTTTCATGAAACAAAGACAGTTGTGTTGGCCACCTGGTTCCACAATCGTCTGTCAGGATTTCTCTCCCTGTTGTATGGTTCTGTTTTTTTCTGGCTTTGTTTCGCTTTCCTTCTGCTTCGTTTCTTACTCGAAGCACGCACTTGCTCCATCTATTCTGGGAGGCATAGTCCAACTGCTTATCTCTGGCAAAAATCAGGGTAAAGGCAAGAATTGAGACGAAAGAGAATGATAGCTGCCAACCTCCTTGTGGGTATTGAATATTGTGGCCAGGTATTTTATGTCTTATGATTCAATGTCATTTGCGTTTTTCTTGTTCTACTTCCCACTTGTCAGTCTCGCCACAACGCCAGGCCCTTTTCCATCTCCGTAAAGATTCTTTTTCAGTGCCTTGTTGACCCCAGCCTTGGCTTGCTTTTTTTGGTCTTCCTAGGCAGTCTAGTGAGAGGATGGATGGCGGGCTTGTTGTTTTTCTAAGTAGGCAACATCTAGTGTGAATTGACCTCTCTTAAATCCACCGGTGTGACCTGGATCCTTGAAAACACCTGCTCTGGTGTACACGGCGGCCCAAAGTATGATTTTGTGTCTAGCCTCCTCCAGATGGTAAGTTTGGGGTGGACCCCAAAACAAAGGTTGGTGGAAAACACTGTTGGGCGCTGTTGTTTCCAGAGCTGGAATTTCAGCTTTGAGAAAATAAGCTTGATGCTGCTTAAATGTTCATAGAGTCCCGTTGGTGAGTGTGTATGTGCTCACACACACACACACACACACAGACACACACACACACAG